CCTGCAGGAACAGCAGTGACAAAAGACTGAATATTCAGCTGCCAAGTCAAATTCCTTTTAGTCACAGCCTTAAATAGAGAAATAAACAAAACCTCCCAATTCAGATATGAGAATTATGGGCGCCACAGGACATGACATGCTCTGGTTTTAGCACAGTTGGGATCCAGAGGAAATGGTGTTAAGTATTTTCCTTTTAAAACACTGATACTCTGCATTTTTTTTCCCCATAAAAGTATTTAACAGGTCAAAAAAAATTGTATCAAATTTATTTGTGATGCGAATGGATAACAACTGAAGACCAATAAATGAAGATGTTTCTAGCGCCTCTCATATACTTTATTCAAATGGTTTATTTATAAGCAAGTTCTAGATCCAATATTATAGTTAAATTGAGAACCTAAATCCTAATCCTAAACTAGAAAGTTTGGGAAAAGGTGGGGTTTTTTTTCCCCAAAGTACCTCTTTCTTACCTGTAAAACAACACAGCACTGAATAAAGTCATCAAAAGCAACTTGTCCTCTTCCTTGTCTGTCAAATTTCCGAATAAGGATATCGTAGAATTGATCAGACAGTCGGTAACCTTGGAAAAGAGAAATGCTTTAAAAGGTTTCAATTACCAGTCATTCTGTAAGAACTAGGCTGTGTGTTTATTAGGCACGTATAATAAAACCAGGAAACAGTAAGAGACAATTTTTTTTTTTTTGGCCAAATATCTCCACTGCACCACAAAGGTGTTTGTTAAACTAAAATGCATGCATTAAAACCATGCTTAATTATAGACAGAGTCACAGTACACATAATTGCTGATTAAAGTGACTAGTTGGTCAAGGGAATGGTTCAGGGCTGCAGCTCAAGCTTTTACAAGTGAAGTCAATGGAAGGAAGGCTCTTTGCCACCAGAATGCTACCGTGGCTTCGTTTTAAAAAGCGGAAAGCTGTATCGAGTACCTTTGTCAGTTCAGACATTTACCTGAAGTATTGGTCACGCTGTCAGAGCAGCTAACAGAGGAGATGGACAACATTCCACACACATGTACTGGCACATCCAGTTTCATTTTTTCATAAAAGGAAATAGCTTAAAAAGAAGCGCTTGTGGCAGGGACATCTTTAAAAAGTAGCTTATACCTAAAAGGATAACTGCTTTTCACCTGCCTCATTTTTAGTCGCGTTTGTCAGAGCAGGACAGCCATAACAATAAGAAAACTCATTTGATGACATAACCCAGTCATAAAAACTGTAATTACAAATGAATTACCAAAACCTGTTAGTGCTTGCTTTAGTTCATTTTTGTCAATCATTCCAGAATTGTCTCTGTCATACGTTCGAAAAACAGTCTGCCAGTCTGAGATGTACTTCCAGACTCCTGTGAATTCATTGAAGTTCACACCACCTTTGTTTTCTCTGTCAAACATGCCTGAAATAAGAAACACAAGTAAAACCTTAATCATACTACTTTTCAGTAAGATCTGCTAGTATTTCAAGAAGGCAGTAAGACTGCTTTGTGGTAGGTACTGAAGACAAAAGAAATTGCTAAAATACAAGCGATATTTTTGAAAGTTCTGCCAATAAAAGCATGTAGTCATCCACTGAAGGAGGAAAAGATAAAGCAAGGTAAAAGAGGAGCAGAATGAATCACAGAATGTTTCTTTTTCCCGAGTTTTAATTTCCAGTTTGAACATACTTAGGGTTTGATTGATCATCCAGTGACAAAAAAGGCAGGGGCCTGGGTTCTTCTTTTCTAAGGACACATGAAAAAGTCTAAGTCTACTGACTGCCAGAAGAGCTGGGATATTCACCTGCATCTGGCTTACTGATACCGTCATCTTTAGACAAAAAGCGTGTCGTGCAGCGATAGAACTCAGACTGCTGCTGAATACTTAATAAAAACAAAGCAAAAACTTTAGTCCTTGGATTTGTGAACTATGATAGAAAAGGCTTCTTGTGCTTGAATTTTTCTCCTGTGCTACCACCATCTTCTACATTACTGAAAATTATTTTAGGACACTAAAGAATTCAAATACTGTAAAGCTTCTGTTTGGTCTTTTTGGAGTAGAATATAGGATTAAAATGGAAAACAGGAAAAACTAGCTACGGAGACAAGCTATGTAATGTCTTTTCAGAATTTCTAAGCTGACAGTTTCCTCATGCATAAATGACATTTGCTCTATTCAGTTGTACAGTAAGATTTCCTCAGGCTGCTTTGACAAATGCACGTGTGTGCACACAAAGTAGTATTCAAAAGGGAAAAAATTGAGTTTAAGCACTACTGCTGGGCTGTCTGGAGAGGGGGGAGGAAGAAATGTAAAGACATATTGAAACATACC